AGTTGAAATGAATTTGGTTATTTGTTATAACTTGAAAACATGCATCTCAAATTATCTGTTGTGACGTCTGACTAGAGAGGAGAGGTACATGAATGAACCGATATCACATCGAATGAGAGTGATCCTGAGATCATGGAAGAATTGTTAAGAAAAGACTTAAAAGAATTGATAGCTACTATCTGGTTCAATCATAAGAACTCCAAAGTTAAGCGTACTTGACTTGGAACGAGACAAAAAAGTGTCGAATCCGGATTCCAAAGAAAAGAGGTGTCTGTTTACAAAAACAAAAATTTAATTAGTTTAAATGTTTGGTTTTCACAAGATTTCACAAAACTTCAAAATAAATTACTAACTTATTGTATTTAAATTTATTTATTAATAAATTAAGATTTAAAGACTTTTTTTTTTAATACAACAAATTGGGGTGTGGAAGTTTGAACATCTTATCTCAAAGAAAGGAGTTGATGTCAATTATATGCTTATGTTGACAGATTGAACCATTCATAAATTTAGTGTAGTATGAAATAAGAATATAATACTCTTTGTGTAAAGAAAACGCATGTAGTATGTTAGATATCTCAATTAATTAAATTTATTTTAACCAATCAACTTAAGTTTTTTGATTCATAGTAATTTGTTTAAAATGATATCGAAGTCTTGTGTTTGAATAGAGGCGTAAGCTTCTAAATTTATTGGTGATTTAATCATATTTAAAATAATACTCTGGTACTTTAAATTTTACCTTAATGATGATTTTTTTTATTACACTTTTTTAATAACCAGTGCACCCAACTATGTTATAATTTAAATACATTTTAAAATATGTACTGTTTTTGAAAAGCTTCAACCCCATTCTCATGTAGTTTTTTATTAAACAATTTTTAATAAGACATTAATTTAATAATGTATTATAAAGAGTTAAACTAATAATTGAATTAGCAATAATCAACCCATTAAGTTAGTACGGTTAATACATATATATATATATATATATATATATTCTCTTTTTGTGGTAGTACAACAAATATTTGAATGAGAGCCTAATGAACTCCAAAAGAGATATGAGAAGGAAGATCGTAGACAAATCTCTAGTTCTGATGGTGCAACTCATTTATACCTTTGTTCAATTTACAAATGAGAGCCTTTAATATGAAATTTAATGCAAATATCGCCATCGCCAACACACACACATGTATATTTCTCTTTTTCCTTTTTTTTTTAACATGGCCAAAACAAGCCCACGTAGTTGGTGAATCACAATAATAAATTATATACAAAAAATAATTCAATTAAAATAAATAAATGATATTCTTCATTTTTTTTTAATTTGCAATTTTTATTAGTTTTTTTTTTCTTTTTCCAATTTCGTCTCTTTTATCTTTTAAGATTTTTAATTTTATGTAGGTTTAAATTCTATTTTGGTACATACATGATTCATTTTGATATATGTAATTTCAAAATGTTTGTTTGGGTTTCTGTGTTTCAAATTTTGTTAATTGTAATTTTAAAACGTTTGTTTCATTCTGTGTACTTTTAAAAAGAGACTAATTTAGTCTTTATTTTAAAATTTTAACACAATTTTTATCATAGTAAAATTATTTAATACAAATTTATGGTTACATCTTAAGAAATTTAGTTAGTGAAGTATCATATTAAAATTATAATCCAAATAAATAAGATAAAAATAAAAATGAAGAGACTAAAGTGGCCACTTTTTTAAAATGCATAGATCAAGATGGACAAATGAATAAAAATAGAAAATACAAAGACTAAAATGGACATTTTAAATATATAGATCAAAATAAATAAAATATAAAATAGAGGAACCAAAATATTATTTTAAAAAAATTCAATTAAATTATTATCGTTGCATAAATGATGTAAAAGTCAAATACACTTTATTAAGGTGAAAATATTATATGGTTTAATTCGAGGAAATAAACATGCTACTTACCCATAAAATTTAAAACTCCCTTATTGATGTGGCCTATAGTATCTTACTTAACCTGAAATTGCTCTTTGTTATAGAAAATTAATTCGTTCTATATCCAACCATCAACAACCTCATAAAACTTTGTAATTTTTAAATTTGTTTGATCACAGAAATGACCAAACTTACGAACTTTGGTTCGGACCGAAAGATGATCGGGAGGACGAACAAGAGATCTGTAAGATAGAAAAATAATTCGACGTCCAAATCAGGAAGATGTGGAACTGTATTAGGAGAATAATATAGTGTTCGCGTACTAGAATGGGGGCCAATGACTTCTATTTATAGGTGAGGTCTCCGACAATATCTCCGACAGGACCTCAACGGAACTTTAAGGTAACTGCGAATCACGGTGTTCTGTCGTGAAATCTGTTGGAATATAAGGCTGAGCCGAAGATGTCCAGATCAGTTTATTCGGGGAAGGAGAAGAAGGTTTAAGGGAAACATAGTCGGCTCAGTATTGAGAAACGTATAATTCTCTCCTCCAATCAAGATGTGCCACGTATGAGGTAAAAAATCACCTCCAACAAAATTCATATCTAGTTCTTCGTTATAATAACTTAATTGAACACAAATTCAAATAGACATTTTCGCTCCCAGACCTCAACTTTTCATTTTTATTTTCTCAAACGTAATAGAAATATAATATTTTTAGGGTTTCACGTTACATTAAAGTTTGTTTGATTTAAATTATGGTTATTTATGTAAACACTTCAATTTGGTACACAAAGTATCAACTAACATGAGCACAACTCAACAGTTAAAGATCTCTTACTCATTCCTAGACATCCGAGTTTCAATCCAAAATCATACCCCTTTATTATAATCATCAACTAAAAAAAACACACACACATCTTAAATATTTAATTCTAGGTTAAATATGTGTCCAATATTTAATATTGGAGTATTTTTTAAATTTAGTTCCTCGCCATTGTTAAATTTTAAAATGTCGTCAAGAGCATAAAAATTCAAAATTTCTAGTATTTTTTTAATAATTTAGATGAGAAATCAGAAACTTCCTTCTCTCATATAATTCTTTTTCTTCCTCTAAATTTCTGTTAATTCACTCTTAACTATATCATGTAAACTTATTGTTAGTCAATTTTAACATGAATAACTAAATTGAAAACCATTAAGACTAAATTAAAATTATATATATATATATATTTATATTTGAACATTGTTGAACGAGAAATTTTGACAAATTATTAAATGTCACATCATAATTTAAAATTATATTTTGGACCAATCATAAAATTACATGTGTCCTAAATTAATTTGAAATCGGTAAATCAAATTGTGTCACGTGTCTGTCCGATGAAATCAACTAATTAAATCAAAACTCATAAAGATATTGGACCTAAGCCCATGGCTCATGATCTATATAAGACCCATCAAAGTTCTAGACTCGAACATGCAACTGGACTACGAGACTTCAAGAATTGCCAAACATCGAAGATTCTAAAGATTCTTTAATAATTCGAGAACAAATTCACAAACTCTCGAATTAAAGTTCACAGATGATCATATAATATAAATTGTAACACTTGCATACGTAAATAAAAATATAAGTTCATTAATTCGAGTTTACTGTTATCAAATTTTTCGGAACAAACATAAACCATAATATTTTTCTTAAAAAAAATGGAAAAAATCATAAACCATAGAAATAAGAGGGTTGGTAAAACGAATGGCGAGGAGAGAGTGAGTGGAGTGGTGCATCCACAAAAGTAAGTAGCCTCTTCCTCCTAGTCAACATCCCGGGGTAGGTGAAGCCTCACTGCGCTTCCTTTGCCATTCCCCAGACCCCACTTCTGACCGAGA